ATCACGGAAAAATCTCGTTTCTCAGGGAATATATAGAGTGGGGGAAATCTAGGCTTTGTCTGAAATGAAGTAATTGGCCCAGCTCTCATCAGCACACAGAGATTTATATATATATATATATATATATATATTTACACACATTGAATAGAATATATATATATATATATATATATTTTCTGTTGTCATGAATGATAATAACAAAAACAACAATAAGTACTGCAGAGCTAGGTGACTGCTTTCAGTGCCAATTTGCACAAGCATGAATTAGTGAACATGATTTCATTGAGTGAGCCATGGAAGGGCCAAAATCTCCACCTCTGAAGTTCATTTTGTTTTTACATAATAGAACTGAGCATTAACCATTAGTTCAAAGGGTTCATCCCAATTCTTATGAGGCTATTGGAAAACTAGTCCAAGAAATGAGGAAGAAAGATGATGAATCCTGATCTTAAATCTGTATTGACAGCTGAAGTTGATTCAGAAGTTTGTTATTCAGAAGTTTGTTTCCCCAAATGTTCAACTGCTATCAAGGGATGTTCATAAACAGATATTGATAAATTGAGTTATTAGGAAAAAATACACACACACACACACACATATATATATATATATATATATATAAATAAATTCACATATATATACACACACACACCTTTTTTGCATCTAACCTGACATTTGTTTCCACAGTTATGAAGGCAACATCTTGGAGCCACAACATATATCAAAATGTATCATTTCCTTCAATATTTCACTGTGTTTATTTTCAACAACTTTTGGCCCACTTGCTTATTTTCTCATTAACCCCATGTCTGATGAGAGGAGAGGTGGGCTTGATCCACTAAATAGTGTGGACCACCAAGTTGGAGTTAGCAGCAAGAGAACCTTAGTGGGCTGGCTGAGGTGTGTATTCATTTCCTCACCCAACATGGGTATGCATTCAAAAGGGGGAATCCACTCAATTGGGGTTCTAGTGGTGCCCACATGGTGCTGTTGTGGGACTCCCCAAAAGGGGTCTCCAATCTCTGTGGTTTTCATTATTATGCCCATATGTGGCTGTGAGTTTTGAAAGCCAGAGAAATGTGTGTAAGGGAGTGTGTGTGCACTGCAAATGGTTTTGATTACTCATCAAAATCTGAGTGTAGAAGGTGGACAACATAGGGGTATATAGTAGGTGTTTGCATTTGTGACAGCCATTCATATAAAGAGCTTGCATGTGAGATCCTTCATATATATATATATATATATATGTTCACACACACACCCACACACATATTATTGTCTATTTTTTGTCTGTTTGTTCTATCTTTCTTTCTTTTTCTTCTTCTAATGCTTTGAAGATGCACAAGAGGTCTAATGATATGATCAAGTTTTTTTAGTTTTCTATTTTTAGTTTTTTTAATATTTAAATTCTATTGTACTAGTTGAGCAAAATCAAAGTTGATTATATTTTGATTATAACTTTTTCCACAATAACTTTGTATCCATGGTAAACTCATAATGCAAGATCCAATACTATTTGGTAATGTAATTAAGAATAGAAAGGACTTGTTTCCTTTTAACAAGTTATTCATCAAAAAAGTAGATAATAAGAAGATTTAACTGTATTCAAAATCATTAGAATCTAATCCTAAATGTTCTGATGAAAGGACACAGTTTGAATGTTGAGGAGGAAAGGTTCTATATGGATAAATGGGCCCAATGATGGGCCTTGTGGGGCCAAAACCACATTGCCCAACATGTGTTGGATTGGGAAGAAGGTTGTTCAATCAGGATCAATCAGATCCAACAGGATTGTTAGGATTCTCATTTGAAACCATTTGATGTAAAAACATTGTTCTCAGTGGCAGTTTACATTCTCCTCTAACTGTGCTCACAAATTCCAATTTTCATTTTTTATTTTAAAGAGAGAAAAAAAATGAAAAATAAATAAGTAAATCAATACAGTACAATACAAGAATTTTGTTGACATCTGGGGTTGGCATGAGACAGCACACAAACTGGCTGGCTGCTACAGTTCTGACTGTTATCCATGAACTCCATGGGCTTGAGCCCTATGATGAGCATTTGAGCACACCCCCAGTCGTGTTCAGCACAAATCCTGGAATCCATTCCCATCAGGCCCAGAAAATCAAGCCAGGAAATGAACTCAAGTGTCTATCAGTGAGATGGGTAATGGATTGCCTTCCCAGCCTCCTCAGACAAAAAAAAAATCATTGAGGAACTGATCCATGCCATGAATGCAAACCCAGAGTTCTCAGCCTCACACACTGCCAAGCCTTCTACACATCCCCACCCCCCTTTGAGCACTCATATTATTATAAACCATGAACTAGTGAATCACACACTCTGCCTCTGTTTCCATATGGGTCTTAATTACTGTGGAAGCCAAGTGTTGATTCTACTGCTAATCACATGATTCCAATCATCATCCGCCCCACATGGGATGCATTCATGGCGCTGCTGATTTAGGAGAATATTCCATGGGAATCTAGGACAGGTTTCTTACTATGAAGGGAAGAAAGTCCATGTGTTGGTGCTCTCCAGTGTTCAATGACCTCACCAGCTTCTACACCATCCTTACAATTCACCACTCATGATGGTTCTAATCAATGGGCTCTGTGATGCTATTGGCAATTTTTTTTTTTTTTTTTTTTAACTTTATTTTTATTTTAATGATATTTCCTCCAGTGTTTGATGAAAATCCAATTGGCTACAGTCATAAAACTTGTAAGGTAGAGCAAGTGACCATGAATTGTTGGATCTAGAAATCCAGACTTACAATTATAAGATGCTTAGAGATACTGTTTGGTGAGCAGCTTGATATGGAGGGGATTTTAGGAGCTGGAAGAATTTTGCAATTAGCCAAGAGAATCTGCCAACATGGTCCATGTGTCCTAAAGGGCAGGGTAAGATATCCAAAATACATTCAGAGGCTGAAAGAAAAAATGAACTCTGACAAACTTGTGAAGTATCATGATCTTTGCCACAAGGGGTGAAGAAGAGGCTGCTCAATCTCTAATGATGCTAGTCTAGAGGTCCAATAAATGAATGTATATATATATATATATATATAGATATATATGAATAGTTTAATATTTTGAGATTGCAGGCTTGTGTGTAATCCTTATTTCAGCTAGTTTTTGCTCTATTTCTGAGGATGTGTTGAGTTCAGAGTGTTTTTCTCAACAGGTTGCATAATTTACACTACATTCCCAGCTATGTTAATTAAGAGGCACTTTGACAAAAAGTGAGTGATTTTTGTTTGCAAACCAGGAATTGTGGGATGTGTAATCACCCATACCACATGCTAAATGGCTTTCCATACATAGAAGGATATTTGTACTTTCCAAAAGAGGAAGGCTCCACATGTTGTAATTAAGGAGGGGTCTAAAGCAGTTGGTCACCATCCAGTCCACCAAGAGCATTGTGCCACTACTCTCACCAATTTCACTTGATCTTAAGTTTTGTTGTATTGGTTATCCAATTGATTAGCAAAGATATCCAAAAATCATTTTGCTTCAAGGACTCCTATACAGAACTTTTACTTTCATGAGGTGCAATTATCACCACATGATGGGGAAACTCACAGCTTGTCTCCATGTTGATACAGGGCACAGCAGTTTTTCAAAAATGTCAAATATTTACCACAGAATGATTTGCAACTGTAAAGCCAACAGAAGAAACTGAAAAAGTATTGGAGATCTCCCATTTGAGTGTCATCAAGTCATACAAAATTCCAAATTTTGAAAAGGAACCAAAGTTGTTGCAAAAGGATCCAATTTTCCTATGTTGTGTTTTCCTTGGAAGCCATGGTGCTTTGAAATTGAGCAGAATCAAAGAAGATCAATGATTTGGTTATTCATTTAATTTACCAGAAGATACTTGTAGATACATACACAATTATTTATTGCTCTTTAGTTTGGTTGCAGATTTTTCAGCATTAAGCAATGGGATTGGAGCAGGGACATTGAAGAGCATATCCCCAACTCTTTCTAATTAAGCCTGCTAATAATGAGCAATCATCTCCAACTGAGGTTAAAACTAAGAGCAGTAGTTTAAAAATATCCAGCATGCCCTTCAGTCATGCATGGGATCACTTCTTTATCCATCAAGCAGCCAAAACTTTCCCTTCCAAGCAATGCCCACCAGCCCTCATGGTCCTTTTGGCTATGGCCATGGTTGTGAGAACAAGTGTCCCAGACAGACATGCAAAAGTTAAGCAGAATTTGCAATGAAAGAGGGGGCAGAAAATAAACATATCACACTCAAAATTAAAAAGGAGATCAATCTCCTAACCCCACCCCCCACAGCAGGAACTCATCTGCAACACCATCAGAAATGTCACAATTCTACATCCCAAGCACAATGTGTGCACATTTATCAGCACATTTTTTCTTAAGTCTGCCCTTTAGCTTGGTTTGGAAAGAAAGGAAAGCACTGCTAATGCAACAAATCCCATGTGAATGAAGAACTTGAAAAACATCAATCTCTACAATGCAGTCATGGTTTCATTATACTGGTGTGAAGAAAGAAGAGGAAAGGAGAGAGTGGAATGAAGGGGGGGTTAAGCTTGGTGCTCAGATTCTGCAGGGAATTGGAATTATCTCATGTCAACCAGGAGCTAGGAAGCAGCAAGTCATGGGATGGTGGGGAGGAATGAATAATCTAAACAGACCCCAGTCTCCGAATAGCGTTACACTGCTAACATAAGAAGAACCACAAGAGCAAACATAGAAACTCCGAAGCGAATTTGCTAAACAAAAATAATGCCGCCATGCACTCACGCTCTCTGCACTCGCGGTGAGCCTTCTCCCCATCGTGTTTCCCAGAGGGAGCCAGTCCCCAGGCCCGCAATCTGCAGTCTTGTCAGGGTCCTTTCTCCGAGGATATAGGGTGGGACACGGAGACGCAACTGCGAAAGCCCATTTCCGTGACGCTGCAGACCTTCTTGCAGTGCAGCAGCCACGAGAAGGATAAAACAGGGAGGGGTCAGTTCCTGTTACTTTCATCGCGCCTCGCAAAGATCCTCCCCTCTCTCCTCCCTCAGCCCGACCAAAATCCCATCGCCCCTCGTCTTCTACGTGACAATCATGTGTGGACAATCCCAAAGTATTTTTTCGCCGCTCACGCTTTTGCGGTTTTGGTATCCATCGCCCAGCTTGTGAGAAGCAGCAGCACCAGCAGTAGAAGGAGGCGTTGTGAGTGTGTAGAGCCTGCCGTCTTTCGGTGACTGGTTGTTGGCTGTCGCGGGGCTGTATCTCTCACTGGAGTCCAAATTCGTGGGTTGTGCGCGCAGTTTTTTTCTAGTTTCGTTTTAGCTTGGTTGGGACTTGCAAGAGTCGAAAGGCCTTAGGGTAATGGGAGATCTTCATGTGTCTGGGTCTCCGAGGGGGTTTATTTCGGGTGGAGAGAGCGCGCGTTATTTTTCGGGGGTTTGAGGAGAACAAAATAGCAGTTGGTGTGATATTGGGCGTGATCTGCTGTGGCAGCTGTGATAAGCTCTGCTTGCGGTCCTGCCTTCGTATCTGTGAAGTTGGGTGGTCAGACAACTGATCGCGGAGTCCTGTAATTTCGAAAGCTGTTATAATATAGGGACTCATCAGTAGTGAGTCAAATTGTTTTATGATTGCTGCCAGCGAAGCCGGTTGTGCTGATCCATCGGACAGGTCTCACATTGCATCTTTCTCTCAGATGTGACTTCGTCTTCGGAACCCTCTTCACTCTCCAGGACCAATCTTTCCCCAGCACGCCGACTTTGGTTGAGGGGCATACGCATCCGGAAAAAGCGAAAGGATACTCTATTTCCATCAGGTTGGACCCTGCAAGTAGAATACTTAGAACAGCTGCCTAAAAGAGTGCCACATTACTCGTCTGCTGTGTGGTTTGGATTGCTCCATTGTTCACAAAAGTCGCAGCACAGTGTAGAGTGCGCTGCACACGAGGACGGTGAGACAGTGACAAAGTGAGAACTTGCAGAAGTCGTCCAGGCTGGAGAAGCAGCCCACGCCGCAGATTAGAGTGCCTGCAGTCGATTGACTGAGCGATTGTGTCCGAGCCACATCGCGATGACGCTTAGCTTGAGACCGGATGATCGCGGCGCACTAAGGTCCATGGAAAAATGGTAACGTTCGCCACTCACCTCAGCTGTGGAATTATCTCGAAGCATCTGCACATCTGTAGGAAGTGCAACGATCTTCTCTAATTTCGGGTCGGGATCTGCCTGGAACGTGCAGAAAATTATTCTCTATCATTTCCAGATGGATAAAAACAATCTCCATGTTATAAGGTGGGAACTTTCGTGCATGTGCACACACTGCTTCGTTTGTAGGTATGGAATTTGAGATGTTTGGAATTTTTCTGATGCCCTTTCTGTTTGTGTGCGCGTGCGCAGGTCAAATTCTGAGATAGGGTGGGGAAACTATCAGCATCACCCTATGCTGGAAACCTCCATGAACCCTCTGCTTAATTACTCGCAATCGCAGTCAGTGTTTCCACAGCTGATGGGTGCAGCGGATCAGCAATCTTTGATGGAGGCATTTGCGCAAGCCAATGCAGGGTGCATGCTGAACCAGCCTTCGCAGGGTGGCGGCGACAGCTTGGATACGCTTCTTAAGTCCAGTAATAGCTCCAGTATGGTAGATTCCAGCACCAGCGAGATGACGTCCCCAGACAACTACTGTGTCGGTGCGCCGGAGAACAATCTCCACATGAACTGTATCTCCTCCCTTGGTGGCGGCCCTGTGTCGCCAGTCCTGACCAACATGCTTGATCGTACTGCCAGCACAGGCGCGTGCCTTGTGGCTGCTCACCAACAATCCAAGAGCGAGTTCTTCCGCATGGAGAGCCCTGGTGGGCCTTTGTCGCCAGGAGCACCACCATGCGGGGAAAGCGAAGATTCCCTTCATGGCGGTGAAGCTTCAATGACGGGTCTCAAGCGCCGCTTTGACGGCGGTGACAAGAACTGGATGGTAGACCAGATGCATGGCAGCCGGAAGCAGCAGAAGCCGCAGCTGCAGCAATCTGAGAAAGCACTCGGCTTCCAAGACAGTGTCGGAGGTTTCGTTGACGCGGCCTCGACGGCGGGGATGCCTGGGAAATACTCCGACCTCGCTACGGTTCCCTCCGTGATGCAACCTCCGCCACTGTCATTTCTACCCAGCATTGCAGCTGGTGGTGCATCGTCGGGGGTGGACATAGACAAGTTCGCCAGTGTGCGTGCCATCTTGTTCCGGCACGCGTCCCAGCCGATACCCACTCTCGAGGAGATTGCAAGCTCTCGGCCCAAGAGGAGGAACGTAAGGATCTCGAAAGACCCTCAGAGCGTGGCGGCTCGCCACCGTCGTGAGCGCATCAGTGACCGCATCCGCGTCCTGCAGCGTCTCGTCCCTGGCGGTACCAAAATGGATACAGCATCGATGCTCGATGAAGCCATCCACTACGTCAAGTTCCTCAAGCTGCAGCTTCAGGTTTGCAATACTTGCAATCTTGTGCCTGTGGATATATCTGCAATTTCGTCACAGCACGTCGTTCATATCATGGTAATCACGCGATTTGGCAAGGTTCCTGAGTGTGTGCTGCTGTGATTTTGGTTTGGATGAACAGACGTTGGAGCAGATCGGCAACAATTGTTGTGATCCACGCTCTTTCCCGCAACAAGGCAGTGCAGCCGAGGAGCTCGCAAGCTTGGTGCGTCCATTTGACTTGAACTGCACTGCTGCGTTCCAGACATGGCCGATTCCGCCTGCCACTATGGGGAACCATGGTGACACATCTACCAAGTGGGGTACTGAAGCCAACCAGGCAACCTTTTCCGATGGCAGAATGTAGGAGCTCATCCTCATTTTTTAGCATTACAGCTTGAGCTCAATGAGAAGCTCCGAAACACATCAATCACGCATGCCGCGCCTTGAATGAGATATCAAGACGGCGGCAGAACTGGAGGCCACATTTTGAGGGAATTCAACGTCCACACAAGCTTGTGTGTTAAAGTTCGGCTGCTTGCCTGCAAGCAAGGACGTGCAGTGTATTACCGAAGACCTTAGCAGCAATTTTGCGAGACACCATAGCACCGAGACAACCGTGACTCGTCTCTAAGACGGAGACCGATCACCTGGCGATTCTTTGATCCACAGCCGCCTGCTCCCTTTTTTTCTTCCCTTACTGCTCATGTTTTCGAAGTTTCGACCCACCCCTTCCGAGGCTGAACCTTTTTTGTATCGTAAACCGAAGTAAATACAAGAACCAACCTCTTCTCCGATTCATCAACTCTACATGCCGCATTGTGCTCGCTCCTGGAGGATGCCGATGGTACAAAAGCGGTACTCAGATTCTTTCATGTGGCTCTAGAAGAACGTAGACTATTCCGTTCCCTGCTTCCTTTGCAATTTTACTCCTGTACAGTAGGTATTTATTCCATTATAATCAGCAGTAGAGCACGACCCTTAATGGTTTTGGTAATTTGAACGCTTCCTTTCAGTGCACTGGACCTAGGGAAGGACGAAAGAATCTGTTTAAGTGATAGGACCTTAAGCTTAGATTTGAGCTGCCTCATGTGCTGCCCAATGTACAGACCACCACCACTGCAATGCAAAAAGTATTGCTGCCTATGAACATATGATATGCCCTTTTTCATACATGTTTGTCAAGTGTCAAGCACAGTAGATTTTGTTACTTTATTCTTGTTCTTCTGCTTCTCCTTCTTTTAGTGGTTATATCATGCACTGTCATAAATGGTTTGGTGATGATATCAAATTCTATCCTGATGGCTTTTGTGGCAGTGTTTTTTGTACATAGATAGCATTATGTAGAAATGAATGCCAGGCAATCTTTCTGGGAGTGTGACCAAGCCGAATACCAGCAAGCACACCTTCTGTCTGTTTTTATTTTTATTTTTCCTTTCCCTGTTCCTTTCCTCTCTCATTTACTGGCTGTTTGATGCACTTGGATGGATTCCTGAACCCTGTTGGAGATGTCGGACTATGTGGTGACAATTGCAAATGGTGCCAGGCACATAAATGGGCATTGGCACAATAGAGTCCATGTTGAGGAAGTGGAAGAGAGCCTAGTACACTGCCAGGCTCTGCTGAAGCATTACAGGCTTCCTTTCAGAATTTGAATCAATTCTGCCTCCTAGCACAATATCTTAAGAGTCAAACCATGCTGCTGCTGGTCCATAATCTATTTTTGCTCTTGTTTCTCAGGGGGCTGAGGGAGTAGTAGTTTTCACACTAGCCATCTGCATGTGGCAACTGTCACTCCCTTGTGAAGATAAGAACAATAGTGTTTTTCTTGGCAGTGCTGTTGTGCAAGGACAATGCCATGTTGAAAATTCATTGCCAAAAACTGATGGGCATTGAGATGGGGAATTTTGGTGAGAGATGACTTATGAGGGTTAGGTAGGGTACTGGGGTGAGAGGCAGCCATGTGACAGAGTTCAGTGTACCAAACTAAGTGGTGATGCTTGTTGGGACCTATAGATCTCTCTCTCTCTCTCTCTCTCTCTCTCTTGCTCTCACTCACTCACTTGGTACTACCTGCAGAAGAACTACACTGCTCTCATACTTTCTCTATTGGGACCTAATATATTCTGTACATAACAGCTTAGATTGTGTCTGCTGGAGACAAGATCTTATTCATAAACTCTGCCACTCCTGTTCCCATGGATCAATCAATTGCTGTTGCTGTTGCCAAGACTGGTCTACCAATTCCCATATGGGTACTACAAAACTTAATGCATTTGCAGCTGTAAACCTTACAGAATTTTGGGACACAATCACACTGGTAGCTACTGTTTGGGAAAATGGGCCATCCACCCAGATGAGCTGGAAAAACACACAGAGGCAATGCCTTACTGATAAGTGTATTGGCTTCTTTTTTTCAAACAAGTAACTTTTAACTTATGTATTTGCATTGATGTTTCTATTCAAATCAACATTTGGGAAAACAAATCATGAGCACAAAGCAAACTAGTATTGCAGCTGTGCCATGTTTGTGATTCAGGACTCAATCTCTAACAAAAGGAGAAGAAGAAGAAGCAGAAGAGGGGGTAACTGTAATCGTTTTCATTTCATTTTCTTTCACATTCTTTCAAGGTAAAATTTGATTTTTTGACAAATTCATTCTAGAAAGAAAAAACACTCATCTGGAATGGTCAACTTCAAGCCTGGGTTGGAGATCATCAAGGCTGGCGGGACGGCGTTCTGCGTCTGCGGCTGCGGCAGGGTCTGCGGGCCGGCATAAATGCGTAACTAACTCAGCATGTGAGGGTCTTATCATTTATGACCCACTCTGCTTTGGCATTTTCCTCAATTTAGCAAACGCTTCTCCCATCCAACTTGGAACATTCTGCCCTACTCCATCGCCATCCAGCGCGTGATCCCCTTCCAGTAGCCCGATATCTGTCGTAGCCCTCCACGCGTGGCACGGAAAATGAACCACTGATCCACATCCCCGCTCTCTCTCTGTCCCACTGAGGAGGGTGTCGCTGCATATACCAGGCTCTGTATGCAATGTATAACCCAGAGTGATTGGGAAGAAACGAGATCTGAATGGGGGAGTAGTGGCAGGGTTTCCAGGGCAGGGCAGGGGAGTTTGAAGGACAAGGCCATCAAAAAATGGTCAACATGAAGGGGGTTTGAGTTGATGGGTGTTGAAGGGGCACCAGCAGCGGTGTCAGCAGATGGATTAGCATACAAAATAAACCACACTGGGCTCACAGGCTCACAGACAGGGGCAGGGATCCCCCAGTCTGTTCTGTTCTGTACTGCCATCAACCCTGATACTATGTTGTCAGCTCTTCTCCTAATAAGCAGCCCTTCAATCAACCGCTGGTTTATATATATATTTATGTATAGAGAGAGAGAGAGAAATGAAAAGAGAGATTGTGAAAGAAAGCAGAAGAAGAAAGCAGCAGTTTCAGTTATAATACAATATAGTTTATATGCATTCAAGTGATTGTTTATATATATATATATATATATATAGGTATATAAAACTGGGCATTAGTGTAGAGAGTACTAAGGCGGCTTTCTATGGTTTTTGGCAGTTGCTGCCTTGGGACCACGATCATGGCTCTGACACTGAGAAGCAAAAAATTGGAGGAGGAGGGTGGTGGTGGTGATAGTAGTGGCCTATTGCAGCCCAGTTCCTAAGTGGATCATCTATCTGCATGCCTGCCAGGCTCTATGTTCTCCCCCTTCCCCTTGCTTGCTTCCCTCCTTTATTTACTTTAATACCACACCCAGATGCACTTCCCTTGTTAGCTTCCATTGCCATACCATTTTTTTTTCTTTTTTAAAAATTATTATTATTATTATTATTATTACTACTACTATTGACACAAGCATAACCATTGCCACGCCTTGGTCTGTTCCACCACTGAACTTGCCTCCATTTGTCTTTGCAGGTATAACTTAGCTACACAGCATAGATGGATGAAATTGTTTATGTTTTTCATATTTTTTTAATATAGAAAAACTAAATTTATTTAATATTAATTTATAAAATAAAGGTGGTCTAAGTAGAAAATAAGTGGTGGAATGCATTTTTTTTCTATATAAAACATGTAGTGTAGTCCTTCAAAACTTGTATAGGACTCATTTCAAGAGGTGATTTTAAAAACAAAATAAAGAAGCCATATTAGAAATTATTTAAAATAACCATTAAAAAGTGATTTTTATATTTAAAATAAAGGCACTATATTTGTAATAAAAAATGGTTTGATAAATTTTATTATCACTTTTTATTTTATACTATATTGAAAGACCAAGTATTTTTAAAGAGGGCTTTACTTTACCAAGCAAGAAAATGATATGGCTTTTGAACCATGGCCTTTGCCAAGGACATAAATCACAACAAATAAAACTTCAATACTTTCTAATATCACTTAGAATGAATATATATTTACTCAAAATTAGTATAATATTGAAATTGGAATGACTATTGCCAAAGACAAGAAGATTAGAGACTCTTGAAACAAGACTAAGGACTAGAAATGCATTGACAAGAGTGAAGAAGGCTTTACTCTTGCCTCTATATATACTATCTAACTAGGAGCTATATAGCAACGTTCTATAAGACCTCCAACATGTGTCCAACTTGTGAGGCATGTGTCTAACTTGCAAGTCAAGTTTACTTCATGTGCACCACATGATTAGCTTGTATCATAGGCTATCAACATGTGTGACACGTGGCTAACTTATTGGCCAAGTTTCTAACCTACTAATCAATTACAAACACATCTAAAGTCAAATTTTCATCTATAAAGCTTTGCCACAATATATTATCAAATCTACCTACATTTATCTTCTATTTAATATTTCTTATCTACGAATATATATATATATATATATATAAGCTAATCTTTCAAAATAAGCTTCTAGATAAGAAAATCCTTTAAACATCAAGCATTAAAAAAATTATTTATCATATGTAGATTAAATCTACAAGCTTTAAAGGAAGAAAAAAAAATCTCATATAATACTAATTTAAAAAATCATACTAATTTATAATAATAATAATAATAGCTGATATGCATATAAATTAGTGTAAAGATTTAAAATGAGTATCTATCAATTTAGCACAAGTATCTATCAATTAACTAATAAATTTTAATTTGGTTTTTTTTGGAATTTCACAATAATAATAAGTCCTTTAATAAGATCAATTTTATTTTTATTAGAATTTTAAAAATTATAATAAAAATTAGATTTTATTAATTATTTGATAAGTAAATAATTTTTTTTCTATATTTTGATATTTTTTATATAAGATAATCTAATTCAATTCTTATCCATTAGAATATGTATGTTTTTTTTTATCAATATAAATAATCAATTTAAAATTAGATTTTGATCTAAGTAAGATAGTTGTAATTTACCATGATTGATCAAATGTATTCAAATAGTTATAAGCTATGCCAAAATGTACATGTATAAAAATTTTAACCGTTTTTGCAACTTAATTGTCCAAAAATAGGTTCTTTCAGGAAATATTTTAGAGTGAAGTTTTAAAAAATTTATTTAAAATATGCCAAAATAAACTAAATTAATTTAAATATAAAAAATCCATGTTTTGAAGAACTCCTAAGAGGAGTTGAATTGTTTACAAAAGAAGTTACTTATTTGTATACCCTTCACGTTTAGAGATACAGTTTAAATCTGTGTAACTATTTCTGTTATGTTTTTTGGGTGAGAATCACGGTACAAAACCATTTCCTGACTTCCTTCTATTGGAATTTATGATTAGCAAAAAATAATCCAAACCATCTTCTTTTTGCTAAATAATACAACAAAGGATGCTTGCATAAAAGTCATGTCATGTTCTGGTCCAATGTATGTGAAAATTATTATTTTTCAATGTTATTATCATTATTATTATTTTTTGATTGAGTATTATTTCTTGACGTATCTAGCTTAATACTATAGGTTTTTCAATAATTGAGATAGATAGAAAAGAGAAAAGAAGTTGGAAGGAATTTTTTTTTAATATTAGATTATTTATACTTAAAAAAAAAAAAAAAAAAAAAAAAACACTCTTGTAAACAATTATTCTTAATGTAAGAACAATTCTTTTTTAAAAATAATAAAATTGGTTTCAATTTATCATTTCTTTGCAATTTAAATCTGAGCATATCTAACCAAATTTTGAAATTTTATTTGGAATTAAATTCTTTAAAATCTTAGTAAATCTTCACATTCTTAATTTTGATTAATCAAAATTTTGTAGCACTTATGTAAACTTTGGAGCTAGGTTGTCTTTTTTGGTTTTTAATAGAGATTCATATGAGATCCACCAACCGATTGTTGCATGAGGTGCACTGCATCGATGTAAGGGGTAACAAAATTATAGTTTAATATTTTTATCAATTGGTTGATACTCTTGTAGCAATGCTTAGTTTCAGGGTCCAAAATAATCAATCTGACTTGAGCATGTTTGTGATGATAGACAGGCTTTTTTTTAGAATAACCTTCTTCTTTTACTTTAAACTTTTTCTTTGTTTAAAAGACAAAAAACTTGTGATGGTTCTTATTTTTCTTCCAATACTTTCAATAAATTGGCCAATAAGAAATAGATGGTGAAGATTGATATGGTGGACAATAAGATTTTATTTAGTAAAGTAAGGCACAAGGAGTTCTATTATTTTAATCTCATTGTAATGCAAGAAAAACATCAATTTTTAAAATTTCATCTCACTTGTAGATAGAGGTGGTATCGAAAGGTTTTGTATAGTTTGTTTGGCTGGCCTTGATTTGCCTACATCCAGTGAAAGTAATTAATCTACACTATTTTATTTTATCTTTTTAATATTAATTGCCAATAGATGATGAAGATTCGTCTAATTTAAGAGTAGACTTGACATCATACAAAATTTACATAAAGTTGCAATTGAAGGTGAAAGTAATATTAACTTTAAATTGTCTAATAATGTTATGGATATTGACTATTGGAAGTTTAGTTCCTCTCATTAGGGGGTTCAAACATGGCCTTTTTGGGTGATATTTCACCTGTGATGAGATCTCAAAGTATCCCATGATAATTCAAAATATCACTTGATACTTCACCAAATCATCCACCTTGCAAGGTGCGTGATTTTGAAATTGAAATATCAAAAGAGGGCCGCGTTGCTCACTCGAGCTCCATACCACACTGCCTAACACTATGCCTCAGCTTTAAAAAAAAAAAAAAAAGTTTGAATGTTGATATTTTGGATTTGATATTCCAAGTGATCATATTAAATACCAGGTGTTGAATCCCAGTTATTTGGTTTTGCAAAACTGCCATGTTTGAACCCCTATAGTTATGGTTGCAATTTTTGTTTGTAATATGATGTTTGGGAACTTACTCATTTATATATGTGTAGAAAGATAAAAAAGAAAAATCAGAAGTACAACTTCATCAGAAATGAACAAAAGAAGAAACTGCAACCAATCAGTGACTCTAGTACAGACTGCCACTGGCTTGTGAGTTGCACAAAGCAATGAAGCAAATGGTGGTTCAGGGAGGCCTGACGCACAGGCAGAGTCTAGGATGCTGCCATCCAACATACAAAAATGAAACCAAGAATAGTATAATAATATAACAATAATAGAGAAAATGGTTAGAATATGGTCACAGAATCAGGATTTTATTCTCTGCAGTTCAAGGGCCCTTGGCAAGGTCATGCTGAGGTAGGATACCAAGGCAGGCTCCTAGTAAGTCATAGTAGTAGAAGTACCACCACCAGGCACCACCACCATGACTAAGTTATGCCCATTTAGAGTTGGCAGCAAGATACTTCTGGAAGTGGTAAGCCCTTTCTCTATATCATTGGCAACGCAAGTTGATTATGAAGTGGCTGGACTTTGAAAGCCTGGTGGCTGCAGCATCAGCAGCGGCTCCCAGGCATGTCTGCTGTGGCCACAGGTCTCTTGCTTGCTCTCTCTCTCTCTCTCTGTGTGTGTGTGTGTGTGTGCAGTCTGCCAGCCTCTCTGTGTGTCTGTCTGTCTGTTGCTCTGCACAGTGCTCTGACCCTGGCTATGGAAAACGGTACAATGACAAGGGGCTGCTGTTGTTGGTTTGGAGGGGTGTTTCTTGGGGGAGGGTGATGATGCTCCCCTATGGATGTATGCATGTGTTGCTGTGTGTGTGTGAGAGAGAGAGAGAGAGAGAGAGAGAGAGTGAGTGAGTTGTGTGTGTGTGTGTGTGTGTGTATGTGTGTGGGTTGGTCTGCTGTGGGTCTTCGTGTTGAACTTGGCTCTGCTCTGAAGGTGTACTGGAGCAGAGGCAGGGGAGGCTGTGCATGTGCAATGAATGTTGTGAATGTGTGTGTGTATGTGTGAAGGAAAGTGCATTTGTGTGTTCATGGTGCCTTGGTGTATGGACAGGCTCTGATCCAGATGCAATAGTTGCTTTTTGGGAGTTTGCTCAAACATGAGTGCATATTTGACCCATTTGCACTGGAAAGTAAAAGTTATGTGTCCACAGAGGGTATTGCACACTGAGACCCCATTAACTACTTTGACAAAAAGAAGAAGGAGAAAATGAAGGGAAAAAGAGAGTCCATCTCAAATGCTCCCTCCTAGTGTCGTAAAAATGGTGTTGCTTTACACTGAGAGGTCTTGAACAAGGCATTGCAACCAAGTCTAGTTTTTCACAAGACAGTCCAACCATATCTAAGTTTTGCTAAGAGAATCTAACCAAATCTGTGCAAAAAATAACCAACACATCTTTGCAGTCACTCAACCCCAAAGAGTCCTTGAGGTCTTTGACACACATGGATGGTTGGGTGGTCAGAGAAAGCCACAAGGTTCTCCCTTCAATAACACTCAAGAACAACAACAATATTCATCTGCAATATAATATAAATAGGATTTGGGGGGGGGGGGGTGGGGGAAAGGGGACAAGATTGTAGTACACTCTGGAACTGCTGCCTGGTGGCACTGAAATTGGCTTGCAATGAGCCCCACTTTGTAACAGTATTCTTTTGCCCTTTTGTTTTGGGAACAATGGGTTACCCCTTTCAGACCCTGTTTCTCAACCCAAACTACAAAGCAAGAGTGTAGAGAGTGAGAAATCCACCTGATGTTCACAAACCCTAAAAAGAAGTGGAGGAGATGATGCATAGTGGTGTTGAGATTGTGAGACAAGGCAAATGCACAAGGCTCTCAGGGGGAATCAGCAGCCCAGGGCCATCAGGCCTCTACTACTACCACAAACTACTGCTTATCCATGGCACCAAAATCTAAAGAGATTGAACCATGTTTATTGAAGGGAGCCTCAATTTGTCCATTCTTCCATTTTTGGGTTGATTCTTAGGAAACAATGAGGAACGTGAGCCACTTCCAAGACAAATGGCTTTGCAGATCCCCTTACATTTGGAAAGCCCATTTCAAATCATGAGCAATCATTCGTTTGGTTAAGAAATTTTTAGGGTTTTGTGGCAAAGATTCTGCTCCCAGCAGTAGCATCAGCAGCTCCATCTTGTGGTATTATAATAATGGTAACAATCACAATAATTCTGTGCTGTCTAGAGATATGCAAACACCCACAATTCCTGTATTGAAGACTAAGTGTGTATACATACATGCATACATACATACATACTTACACACACTAAGTGTGGGATAATATTGAAAAAAAATAAAAATGATAATATTAATAATCATTTAGCCATGCAATTGCCACAATAGAAAACCACATAGTTTTCCTATACAAATTACAATTTTCTGAGAGAGGGTATGTAGGAGAGCAAGAAAAAGCAAACAAATATAAGATTAACAATAACCAAGAGAATTGAAGAAAAGGAAAGATAGAAGGAAAGATAGAAGGAAAGAAAAACTACCAATGGAAAAAGGGTACAATTTATTTTTTTATTTTTGGATACATGAGCCAATGAAGCTTAATATTATAAAACATCTGAATGAATGTATTAACTATTAAAACTTTTTAAAAATAAACATGGTCTTATAGATAATTAAACATTATCACCAACTTCATCCTTTTTGTTATGAGGTTGGTACAAGAGTTCACTTGATTAGTTATCATAGTAACAGAAATAAAGAAAGAAACAAACTAAAAAAGAAGAAAACTAAAAATAAAACCTTATATACGAAAATATATAAAACACAACTATAAATGAATGCTAAATAAATGATAGCATTGTGCAAGGGAGTGACCAAAAACAAAATTTTATTTTTAAAATAACGTTTATTAATAAAATATTTTATCAAAGAATCATTGTGAGTGTGACAGTAACTAGTCTGGCTCATAAATCTGCTTTCTTTAATGCAATTTGTGATGAAAACAAATTGGAACACCTTCAATAAATGTCATTTCTTTCTTTTTCTTTTCTTTTTATATTTTAATATTTCATTTATTCTTTTAAATTCTTATTTATGTTGGAAAAAGCTATTCTGTTCACCCCACAACTAGCCAGCACACAGCACATTGGACTCTGGTGGGTCTGCACAACCATGGTGGGCATGAAAGTGGGGAGGGCACAAGAAACTAGAAATCTTGTCTTTGGTTTCAATAGCTTGTTGCATGATCACAACAGCATACAATAATTCTCCTTTGAAGAAGCAGCACTCACCAGCATGGGATTCCCCTTATTACTCAATCAATCCTTCACTGTCCATCCACTGTCAAGTATTGACAAGATTGCCATGTAGGCTGTAAAAGCATCCCCAACCCCCCATGCCAAGAACATTACATATGTTCATTTACACACATGTGTACACACTCACATTCCCAAACATGAATGAGGAGATGAGTGCAGTGGCAGCTGATAAATTTCTGATTACTACTGGTACAAGGTTTTTATGTGGGTCATGATCAAGCCCTGAGCAGATAGGGAGAAACCAAAGGAGTAGACAAATTTGATGCTGTCAGAGGGCTGCCTTGATAGGACCTTGAGGGGGGGGGGGGTATCATTTACAATGATCATGTTACCTTATTCCATTGCCATTGCTGCTTTGTAAGTAAGTCTTTGTTGTTTGAAGAGCAGTGCCCAACTAGATTTCAGTAGCTCAGGTTGCCTTGACTCCCTTGACCTGTGGCAGGAGGGGAGGGGAGGGGAGAGGTCATTATGAGGAGCAAAAAAGGCTGCAGGTCAGTTCTAGAAGCATGAAGTTTTTAAGGCAAGGAGGATGATATTCCCTTCTTCAAGGTCAGCACAGCTTGCACATTACACCTTGACCAGTACTACCTGCAATGGGGCCAATTGGGTAGATGAGGCTGCAAAATCGTACATGTAGAAATTAATTTTGACATGGAATAAGTAGGTGCATACCGATTAAAGTCTGGAGTAGAGAGCGAGAGGGAGGAGAAATTCTAGGTTGAAATATCCGACTTACTGTCGTCAGTATTCTCCTCAATTCAATGTTGCAGAAGATGACGACACCTAGTATTTGTACGTTAGCAATTGGATTGCTCCAAGTCTACCAAGCTGTGTTGGAACCCCCAGGGCTGCCTGTTAGGTACAAGGCAGCTTGGGACTCTGGAAGATTGGGTTAATGCACAATACATTGACTTTCTGAAGCAGTAGCCTGCAGGGGCAGAGCGAAATATATATATATATATATATATATATATTTATATAGATCGAGAGAAAGAGCGTGCAGCATATGCCACTAATCAATCTGTACCTTACACTTCGGAAACTGTTGCAATTTCTTGCGTAACTTATCCAATAGATGTTTCAGAACTTGCAGAACGATTGATTCAATGTAAGCGAGCTAGAGCTTCGTCAGTCACAGAAAAATTCAGAACAGAAAGCACGTTCCCGGGATCAGATCCTTGCATTGCTGATAAGGAGGATATATACAACAATGCTTCTTTGCCAGTTGGAATATCCAAGTATTTCTCTGGCAGTTAGCGCGCCTCGGACAAATCGGTCTTTCGTGCACGTAAGACATCACATACTCAACCAGAATTGTACTGCAGATTCCGTATGACTGACATGTGATTAAGTCGTAGAACACGACCGTAATGATGTTAGATAACAGAAAAGGATACATGCCTAAGAGAAAATTCTCACTCAGTAAAATCTGCATTGCTCAAGGTGAAGGCTTCACTGGCTCAGGCACCCCTTAGTAGGAATCCTATCAGAATCTTTGTTCTCGTTGTGCCAAGGCTCTTCCCGGCTCGAGGATGCACCTTTGGAATCCTCTTCCTCCAGAAAATCTTTGACTATGCGTGATGGCATACGACGACGCTGAAAAGTTCTCCGACATGCTTCTCTTGCAGCCCGAAAATGTAAAACTCATACTTCGTTATCCAAATCAATGCGGATACTCGTCTCTGCACACTCCTGTACAGTTTTACGCAGATATCTTAGGTCATGAACTTCAACGCAATTCACCTTGTTCACCTGTGAGAGCAATGAAGCGATATCACAGTCAGCGTAAACTTTTTCTGACCTGAACAATTGCCATGAACGCACATCGATAACAAGAACACATAAAGCGGCACCATTTCATGCAAACTTCTCCGACATGCAATGTAAAATTGTCCCGTGGTAGTTGCAATGAAAGCACATGTTAAGAAAGCAACCGGCTTTGACATTTGAGCTTAATATTAAACAAACATTACCAAGTCCAACAATCGCAAAGAAACAAAGTTACCTGAAATTCATGAAACCTTTCGTAACTAGCATTAATTTTGTCTATGAGACTCAGCAGGTCAAATCCTCCAACATTCGTAAATATGAGATGGAATGCGGCTTACATGTCTGTAACAGAGGAGAACTGAGGCTATTCACAAATCAGTTTTTGTCCCAGAAATTCCCCGTGCCAGCCTTCAATCTCCATCTGTGCGAAGATGAAAAATTGTTGGCTGGTCTTGGTTGGAAAATCAGACGGGAGACGCTTACTAAGACGCCGTGGAGATGTATTATAGAAATCCTTTACATATTCTTGCAAATAAGGCTCAGTCAAGGGTATGAAGGCAAGGTCAGCAAGAATGTAATGCCTTAGCAACATGCCAAACTGATGTATAGGCACCAAATGTTGCAACTGCACAAAATCATTGCTCGTGGGAGTCAAATGGTATCTTATGGTCACAGGTTCACTTCGAACTCCTTGTGAACGGACAAATCCTGGAGTTACCAAACAATATATCCAACAAATCTTAATTTTATTGAAATTTATTGACCTGGAAACCTTGGCAGAGATTTCAAACTTAGTTCTCATACTCTACCCTGCAGCAAATAGCACTCCATTCAGACAGTGAGGATGTGGATATGAAGTATACATAATTGTGAAATTGAGTTGACCAAGTATCAGGTAAATACCGTGAACGTTGTAATCGAACATGTGGATAACCATTGCCTCTTCCGTCATAAGCAATGGGTACATCGTCCATAAACAGAATTACATCATCCCTATCATGGCATCCACTGGTATCAGTGCAAGGATACATACTCAACCAACAGGCCAGTTAGGCCGGGTTGCAATCCTGTAACACGAAGTTCGATGATGAATAAGTAATCGAGACAGATCGAATTATATGAACACTAAACAGACAACTAATACACGCTGTCGTCAAGAAAAGTATTTTTTGAAACCACACAGATCGACAAACCAACCATGTTGAGAGTGTAAGTCCAACTAAAGCTCTATTAAACAATATCAAACTCAACCTCCAAATGTATATATATCATGTCCAAGATTCACTCTACTGAGGAAGGTTCAGAACCTTTCATCTGAGATGCTCACCTAGTGGCACGATCTCAGTTGACTTGGCCGTGACACCCAAGAACCAAAAGCTAACGTAGCCCCCAGTTTCCTTCAGGTCCACCAGGAAGCGCTTGATGACCGGAACAGGTATGACATACCCGTGAAAATAACGACCATCTTGAACCAATCTCGATTAAACCACACACAAGTGCAAATCAAGGGCTACAGATTGCAAAGTCCTTACGAGAATCTGAACACCAGAAAAGAAAAACTTGAATGATTTCAACGACTACCACTAAGAAGTTATGCAGAGATCCGCGGAGAGGGTCAAATCCACTAAGATTGACAGAACTTACCTTCTGTTTTCTGCCTTTGGAAGTGTTTTTACGGACTACTCCAACCACCTTGTTCTCCTTGAGAGCAGAACCTCCACTGTTTCCTAAATAGACAGCAGATTCTATCTGAATAGCGATGAGATGAGCAGCCCCATGCACATATCAACTTGGCTAAACCCCAGATGTAACGCCTTCAGTAAATGAAATGTTACCGCATCCTACACAATTTAGAGAAAATTGTTCAGAAAACATAACCTCGATTTTTTCCAAAAAGATCAAACTTGTCAAAAACTTTTTAAAAGCACACATTGTCTAGATCTTAATAGGGCCATAACAATGAAAACTAAAAACTTTTTTGATTATTCGACTAGTCCCATCGTCGTAAGCATACCTAGAGGGTATCCAACGACAGCAACAAATTCTTGAAACGGGTACACCACTAGTTCCGCCTCAAGAATTCTTCACCAAAAATCATAAACATAAACTCGTGAAAGCGCCAAGTAGCGATCGTGATATCCCTGCGGTTACCCTAAGGAATTAACTTGATGCTGCACTCTCGTCTTCAAAAATTGAAGAAAAATTCTTTGCAGATACCAGAGCCAATTGTCCTGTGACTCGATTGGTTCTTCCAAGGCAGGAAGACTTTTGAGCTTCTGGAGACTGCAAAGATCTTCACATGTGCGCTCAATGCTATATCTGCGGCTAGGTGCGGATCTTGTGCTCGCCCTCGTTCAACTGTTAGATATCCTATATTCGTAAAAATCTGCAAGCACTCGATAAATTCATCGATTTAAATTTACATGGTTAATGCTTTATTACAATCATTCCCACCCCTGACCTTTCTCACGATGACTTGTTTATCACAAGCATAGATGAGGGGCATTGTAACTCAGGCTAGGTCAACCTCAATGTAATCCTTTCTTGCATAATTCATGCACTCAACATGCTCACATCTCGGTGTTGACTTATCATAATCCCACGTTTTCCTCAAAATTCACTCCCACATCTTATCCCTAAACTCCATCCCCGAAAAAATCCATCCCAACAACGACGGTTAACCAACTCCTCACTCACAACATTGACAACCAGAAAACAACGTAATGAATAAACTCGAAGCACTCACTTCAAACTACATTCTAGCTACTACCAAACAAGCGACGATCTTCACTTCCAGCCAATAATCCCACAAAGGTTTACAAAAACATAGAATGTGAAAAAATTGCAACATGGGTTGAATATTGGTCATTGAGGCAGAAGAAGAACGATGTCATGCATTCAACATACAGCGATTCCCTTCAGCGATTCCGAGCGCCATGCAAAGATTCAAGGCCTAGCCCTAATTTCTTGACCTCTGTTGATTTGGATGTAGGTCTTGGCAAAGTTGACATCACCCCTTCATCCAGGTTCTCATTGATCCGCTGTATGTCAAACCGTGTGGCCAAAGGCTTCAGTGTATTAACATTCTATACGAGGGCAATGTCAGCTGGTGAAACAACGAATCATGCGGCTACTTATACATTCTTTTACAATGTAAGGTGAAGTCATCAATTTTTTAGAGAAGTTTCGACCAAATGTCATAAATTTTCTACAAAATGACAAAGCATTGCAACAATATTACACTAATATCTCTTGATATAAATAAAATATGTGCATAAAATTGAGATCATGCTTTGTAATACACATGTATCTAAATCATCTATTTTTATTAAAAAAACTGGATTAGTTATTGCTTGAGAGTAATCAGTGGTCTAAAATTAAAAAAATCTACATGGACTTTGAAATAACATTATAAATGGATAGTCAAGAATATTATCTTGATATAACTTGGCAATTTTGTAGAGTAAATTTTTGTGAATTAAAAAAGTGTATCCATCTATGTATGTTTATATATTAAAGGAAACCCCTGTCGTTGGGCACAAATAAAGTATCTTGGGTTTTGAACTTCAATGAATGAAAAGAATGTATATATATATATATATATATATATAAAAGATGATGATGATTAAAAGATATTGAAAGAAGAATTGTTGAGAACTGTTGAGAGTTTCTTTTCTCTTTCTATATTTACATATATAAATAATACATATAATGATATTCAAAAATATAGTTCAAAAACAATGTTTGAAACTGTATTATTGCCATCGGAAAGATACAGTGAACGCACTGAAAAGCTAAAAATAGCACACTAGTGCTTTGTGCTGAGACACTCACCTTGTTTCTTTGATGGATTCTTCAGCTCCCAATAACGCTTCCTGGTATAGCCATGAGTATCTATCTACTCAAGAAGACATCAGACTCTTTCATAAAGAAGCTCTTCCCATACTTGACTTGAGCCAAAGCAAACTTTGCAAATTCACTCAAAGTAAATTACAGAAGGGCAACGTATTTTTTTACATGCATGCAACACACAAATCTCTGTTATTTTGTAGTTTGCTTTTTCTTTTTGTGTTGGTTTCTCTCGCATAGCAGCTTCCTCCGTCGCCGGTGTTGTTGTAGTTACTTCACTTTCTTCTCGATGAAGCATCGTCCCATCTAGTTGCAACACTGCCTTATTGTGCTCACCTTCCTTCTCGCCGAATTAGATCATAGCCTTGTTAGAATATAGCTTGCCTAGGTTGTACCTAATAATCCGATGGATACATGTAAAGTTCATGAAGTCTGAGAAAGATCAAACGCATCCATACTCGGGTAAATTCCTGGGGACGGGGAAAGTGGTTGGGTCTCATCCAAGTGTGGATGGGTTTTCTATGCCAAACTCCTTTGAATTCTGCAAAACCATAGTTTCTCCAACAACGCAATCATGCCCATGCTCCTGGATAATTTTTCAACGGAGCTGACGAGGTTTGAGACATATACAACACGACTTGGTAAGAGGCTTATAACTTAAAAATTTGTCAGCGCTAAAGTCAAGGCGTCGCAGCAGGTACAGAACAGAGAATAAGTCAAGTGAGCAAAAAGCACGTGCATCACGAAATGCTCTCCTCCATAGAATGAAAACTACCGTTAATAATAACATATTTTCATGATACTGTTGTAAACATTCAACCTCAAGCTGTACAAATATTCTTCAGAAATCGCCGTGCGGAAAACGATTTATTAGGGGAAAACTAAATTTAGCAGATTGCAAATTTTTGACGTTTCAAAGAGTACCAAGAATCTCTCCGCATTTGCGGTCGGTTTCATCCGCGGCTCGGATGAGGGCCGGCCACCACCAGTTAGTGTAGATTCCATCCCTGGCGTGGCTGGATCTCGAGCAGCGACAGCCTCGGCTTGTCCAAGGGTTGTACCGCTCACCCTCATCAGAACTTGTAGACACCACTTTTGTGGGTTATTTGTTGTTGCTCGAGCAGTATCGTTTGTGGGTTATCGTCGCCTGTAAACGCTCGCAGTCTTGGCTTGGTTGAAACAATTAGTGGCTCTGTCGTTTCCTGCCGCTCTTGTCTTGAGGCGTGCTTGTGTTCTTGGATGTGAAGCAAGTGGTGGGGTTTTTGAGGCGATACGCTGGAAGTTGGAGCTCTTGTGGCGCACGAGGTTTCTTGAATGAGCGCTGGAAGTGTCAGTCGTTAAATTCTGCTCTTCATAGATCGACGACTGTGATGCTACCTGCGAGCCAACAACAGCGGTGGAGGTGGCGATAACATCATACGTTGTTTTGTTGTCGAAGCACGGGTAATACTACACCCTCATCGCCATGCAAGGTGAGTCTTTGAAGGTAGATCATTTCTTATCACTTCCTTCACATTTGTGGTTTTTTACATGATGGTGAGGAATTGCTTGACAAACTTTAAAATTCTGAGATTATACTGTACGCATCGATGTCCCTGAACAGAGTCTCGAGTAGGTTGTCAACCAGTTTGGTTCTAGGTAGGTGCATTGACATGGAGGATTTCAATTACGACTTCATACTACACCGAGTTCATATACAATACGAGACAGAATCTATATACAGTTTACCTTGTATGTCGTAGAACATTTAGCATATACCATATAAGTCGTAGAATATTTTCTCTATATTTGTTTTATATTTTTTTCTTCATTCACTGAAATCTGATGCAACTTTGCATTACAATGTTTTGATAACTACATGCACTATAAAAACAACTCTTTCAAGCTTATAAGTGATAATTGGAGGTTGGAGTGGTGATGGTTTGGATTGGGAGATTATGTTGTGAATTGATAGTGAATTAATTGTATTTTGCTATTAATATTTGGTATTGTAACTCAATCAATATATGTATTTTTGATTCTCAATTGATTGTATTAGTATTGAAGATGATGTTTGAAATAATTATAATTATTTTTTTAGATAATAAAATTCTTAATTAGTATGATAGTTTGTAATTTAAGTTATTCAGATTTTTATTAGCATGATGTTGCATCTTTCTATTTAATTGTATGTAAGTTATTAAATTTAATAATGTTATTTTGAAAAAAAAAAAAAAAAAAAAAAAACGTTTTTGTTAGAGTTATGTCTTATTATTATAACATTTTTGTTATAACATGTTTTGCATCTTTCTATTTAATTGTATGTAAGTTATTAAATTTAATAATGTTATATTGAAAAAAAAAAAAAAAAAAAAAAAAAAACGTTTTTGTTAGAGTTATGTCTTATTATTATAACATTTTTGTTATAACATGTTTTGCATCTTTCTATTTAATTGTATGTAAGTTATTAAATTTAATAATGTTATATTGAAAAAAAAAAAAAAAAAAAAAAAACGTTTTTGTTAGAGTTATGTCTTATTATTATAACATTTTTGTTATAACATGTTTTAGAGTTAGATTTAAGTCTTATTATTGAATATTAATAATTATATTATTGATATTGAAGCTTTGATTTGTTCAAAATGGAGTGACAAATATGACATGAAGATGTTGGCATGGCATTAATGTCAAGCATGATTTTGAATTGAGATTCTTTTAGTTTTTAAAATTGGGAACTTTTGAAATATATTATATTTGGTTGTCAAAGTTATATTTATATAGTGTAATATGTTATTGGTTGAAGTATTTTGCCTAGTTATGTTTTCTTCTTTTTGTGTCTTTTCATTTAAATTATGTTTATGTTGACTATTATTTTTTGTTCTTTATGTAATTTTAATGCTTTTATTATTAAACAAAGCATTCTTATAGTACACATAATATCTTTATTGTTCAAATATTATATGGCATTTGATTGTTTGAATTGATATTTAAGATTTAATGGTAAATAAGCAAGTGCATGTGTGGAATGGAGAATTTGTGAAGTTGTGTGTTCAAGGTTATGGACTTTTGATTGTAGTATATTGATGTGCATTACATTTTTTCGACTAATGTGAATAAATTGGATTAGTATGTCTAAGAGTAATTATTCTAGGACCTATTTGATTTTTTGAGCTTTGTTGTATGTAAGTAGAACTACTAAGTTATAAAGGATTTGTGTAATATTTAAGTAAAAAATTATCTAATTTAATTGGAGGTTGCAAAAATAAGAAGGAATGATGGTAACAAAAGTCTATATTAAACCATCTTCATTATACTATAGGATCAAGTTTTTAGATCATTATATTGGTATAACATTATTTTTTATTTAGTTATATTTCAAAGACTTAAAGATATTATTTAAGACTACAATTTACTTTAGAATAAGAATATTTTAATATCTCTAAATATATATAGCAATTGAGCTTTTTATTTTAATAAATTGATGGTGGTTTAATCTTAATATCTAGGTATTCAATTTTGTGAATAATAGATGTCTACTTCTGCCAGGTTGAAGAATTCCAAATAATTCAAACGAATATATATTTTTTGAAAGTTCAAATTGTGTCTTTTTGGAGGCATTGGAATTGCTCATAGAATTCATATTGGAATAATTCTTCAAAGCTTTTGAGGTATTTTTTCTACTATATGCCTTATGATAAAATAATTGAACTTTGTTGTTATGAATAATTGGACACAATATGTTGTATTGTCTATTGAGAGTTTGTGAGCTTGTCATATTTATAAGTCACCTTAGCTTATTGGCTTGTATTGTATTATATTGTATTGTATTGATTTTCTCTTGAAGAAGGCATAGATTATTGGTGTGCCAAACTAATTTGTCATTAGGATGTAAGTATGTTAATAATATATTATAAATTCATATTTGATAGTTTTTGTCAAGATTTTTTTTAGAAATTAATATGGTACAAGATTAAAGTTAGTTGGTGTTTTAAACAAGTTTTGTGGTGTCATAGGAACTATTGTGCATTTCTACCAATTCCAATATTTACATTATTTTAATCCTTAATTGAAGTAATAAATGTTGTTACAATATAATAAAATATACTTTTTACAATTATCAATGG